AGCTGGAGCAAGTCCTGACCCCCGCTGCTGAGTTATTGGGGACTGCTTAACAAAAAGGTGCAATGATGTCAATGGCAGACGTACTGTGATTCATTAAAACCGCGAAGAATTCCTGCAGTGGAGGGGGTGGGGGAGACCAGGAAATTCACACTTTGTTTATAGTTTCTTCACAAGCTGAGCTGCTGGGAATACCGCTTGTTACGTGCGCCCAGACATCAGACCGTGAAAAGCAAGCCTCCAGCGTTCCTGCAGTGCTGAGAGCTGAGGTGTGGATCTGGAAGACGGTGGGGAGGTGGGGGGAGGCGGAGCTGTACTGGTTCCCGTGATCCAGAAAGCTGTGCATTTGGAGTGGAAGGAAGCGAGGACAGTGTATGAATCTTGCATCCACAGGAAGCAGCAAGGAAAGGACAGAGGGGACAATGAAGGAAGAGGAGGGAGTGTTGCCCGGAGAAAACAAGGAGTCAGCAAGGACTATTGGGACAATTTCATCAGGAAGCACAGACCATCCGGATTCTTTATTTTCGCCAAATATACACTGGCTTTAGGGGCACTCCCCCTCACCTACCAGAAGTTTCAACATTAGTATTTAAGAATGCATTTTGTGGGCCTGCCCAGTGGCGCAGCGGTTCAGTTCCCATGTTCTGCTCCCCGGGGTTCGCCAGTTGGGATCCGGGTGCAGACACGGCACCGCTTGGCAAGCCATGCTGTGGCAGGCGTCCCACATATAAAGTGGAGGAGGACGCTCAGGGCCAGTCTTCCTCATCAAAAAGAGGAGGATTGGCAGCAGTTAGCTCAGGGCTAATCGTCCTCACAAAAAAAAGAAAAAAAAAAAAAGAATGTGTTTTGCTTTCTTTTGTCTCTTGCCCATACTGTATGCTTAATAAATATTTCTTGACTGCTTGGATGAAGAACACGGAGTTTCAAACTCACACAGCCTCAAACCCACTTGGAGTAGTGAACAGAGGCAGTGGCCCGCAGGGGACATTGGTATCCAAGCTCCCTTTCCTTCTGGTATTTTCCACGGTCCCACTCCACCCTGAAATTTCCCTACTGGCAAAAACTGCCCTTTGAAAGGCAGGTGAAACCAAAGATTCTTCTCTGTTGAGATGGGCTTCCGAGGAGGCTCCCCGCCAGGCTCTCCCGCTCACCACCACAAATAGCCTTTGCCAGGGTGCCGTCAGGACGGGACAATGAGCCTGAACTAGCCCAAGGCTGTATTCACAATGCTCTGGATTCTGAAGGCCGAAAACAGCATTAAAAGTACAAAAACATTTTTATAACTAAGGGGAAAATCAGGAGGAGGGAATAATTAGAATGATCACCAACACACTCTGCTTTCATATATGTACTGTTCAATATCACATCTAGTTGAATGTCGCTTTTTAAAACATAATACGGCATCCAAGATTCGTTGATGACTGTGCCGTTTCCAAGGGGTTGTTTGCCCAAAGGTCGGATAATGTCACTGCTCTGGAAGCCTTGGGCAGGAGGAGTCACACTTGGATTAACTTCAGCCAGTGAAGTCACACCACCACGGCCTTCTCAGAAATGGGAGGCAGCCATCTACCCCGTGATGGGTGAGAAGGAGGGCATCCTCTCATCATGTAGGACCTGAGAATACTCTGATCTTTTTCTCATGTTTATGTGTCAGTTTTCCTTTTGCCATGAAAAATACTGAGTCCAAAAGGAATACCTTCTTTTTGGAAAATAAATCTAAATGAGTCTGTTTACACAATTATAGTACAGCATTAAAAAAAAAACAACTTGGACATAATAAAACACAAATCTTCCTATCCACCCAGGATACGTAAGTTCAAATCAGATATTATTGTTTGGGTCAAAGAGTGATTACAAAATTAACAGAGAAAGATCATCTAATAGGTCTCAGCAGATATAATGATGGCACGACTTTCTGATTATTAAAATATGTAATATTTCAGATGGAGCTACTTAATATTTTAGGTATAATTACATAATACATGTGATCAAATAATAATTATGCAATAATTAATTTTCTAATAGATGTCCGATGTCAATTCCATAGGCATGTATTTTCATGTGCAAAGCATTATGCTGGAAGAGGAATATTTTAACAGAAAACTGATACATGAACTTTTTCAAGGAACTTATGCTCTGGGAAGAAAGGTTTAAAAAAGTGTGCAAATAATACAAGGCAGATTATATCAAGGTAACAACAAGGAAAGAACAATTGCCATTAGAGATTCCGAGGAGGGGAGATGATGGCAGGCTGGAGGGGACTAAGAAAATCTCACTGAAGGTCGAGCAGGGTATTTAGATCAGCTTCAGCTGGGAAGGACAGAAAAGTATCCACTGAGTGTTAAGTGACCTTAGGAGCTGCGTCCAAAACTACACGCTGGGACCAGACTGAGTATCTGAATCACCTTAGCTCTCACTTTTGAAGCAAACGTGTTATTTAAAAAAAAAATTATTGTATTAGTTTCCTCTGGCTGCCGCTGCGAAGTATCACAGACTGGGTGGCTGAAAGTGCAGAAATGTACTGTCTCACCGTGCTGGAGGCTGGAAGTCTGACATCCAGGCGTCGCTGGGTTGGTTGCTTCTCAGGATTGTGAGGAATCCATTCCACGCCCCTCTCTTAGCTTCTCAGAGTTTGCCAGCCATCTTTGCATTCCTTGGCTTGAAGATACATCCCCCAAGTTTCTGTCTTTGGGTTCACATGGTGTTCTCCTTGTGGGCATGTCTATGTCCAAATTTCCCCTTTTTATAAGGACGTCAGTCATGTTGGATTGGGGAACGCCCTAATGACCTCATTTTAACTAGATTATCTCTGTAAAGACCCTATCTATAAGTAAGGTCACATTCTGAGGTCCTGGGGGTTAGGACTCCAACATATCTTTTTGGGGGCGCACAATTCAACCCATGCACAATTACACACACACTCATTGTTTCATATGGCAGGTGCCTTTTAAAGTGATGTTGAGAGGATAAGAGTCTGGTGTCTATTGTACACTCAGGTCATGGAATAGAACAGAAGAAATATAAAAAGAAATGTTCCAGCTCAATGGCTTCTCACATAGTTCAATGATTTCTCTCACCGTCTATCTGCCGTCACAGACTCCCTTCTCTCACAGTCTGAAATGAACAGGCGTGGTTGAGATTACAGAAAGCATCAACAACTCCTCTCATTTGTATTATACATTCCCGTTTATGAAGTATTTTCTCACACTTCATCTCATTTGATCTTCACAATAGTTCTATTAGGTGAGCAAGGTAGTTATAACATTACCATCGTATACACAAGTGAATTAAGTCTCAGAGAGGGTCCACGAAATAGGATCATGGTTAAGGTTATGCTTTAGGCAAATGGAAAAGATGGCAATAAAATTTAGGTGTTCTGAATTGTAGTGCAGATCTTTTTCATTCCATCACGAGGTATCAGAAAAAAATGGAAGCCATCCCTGATGGCTTAGTAAAGTTTGGCATGCTCCACTTCGGCAGCCCGATTCAGTTCTTGGGTGCAGAACCACAGGCTATTGTCTGTCAACAGCCATGCTGTGGCACCGGCTCACATAGAAGAACTACAGAAGGACCTACAACTAGAATATACAACTATGTACTGGCACTTTGGTGAGGGGAAAAAAAGAGAGGAAGATTGGCAACAGATGTTAGCTCAGGGCCAATCTTCCCCAGCAATAAAAAAAAAAAAAGTACAGCAATCACTCTAACTTGTTCTCCTTGATTTAGAAAAATTAGTGTCAGATGCGGTCAGCCAACTGAAGAGCGCGTTGACTTGTGATAAGATTATCTGTGAAGTCGGTACAGGTGTGATGGGTGTTGTAATAAACTACTGGCAGTGGTCTCTTTGTGGGGTTGATGGGGCAGAAACAGATTCAAGATCTGTCTCCATTCACTGAGTTTAAGGCTACATCCACATCTATGAAGATGACATAGAGAAGCTTCCTTGCAGGACTGAGTAAGAGTGGACTCTTACTTGATGGCTGGTGATTTCTTTTGGGAGCATGAATCTTGGAGGAGGGAGGAACAGTCTCAAATAGATTTTTTAAAACTAATGTATTCAGAAGATGTTAGTCACATGATTTGTAGACCACAATCATCAATGGTCTGCTTATTTCCTCTTGAAATATTTAAAATATAAATATTCTAATTCAATCCAGCAGGAAAAGCCTGGTGCTGTAAAGATGGATACGTAATTGGATCCAAAAGGCTACTTACTCCTTCATTAAAAAATGGCCTGCTTGTGTTAACTTTTCCTTTCAGTTTTTTTTCTTTTTTGGTTTTGGTTTTTGTTCATAATAATAAATGTTGCCACTTACTGAGAAGAACTATACACCAGGACGCATGCCAAACACTTCCTATCTGCCTTTCTCAAACCGTCCCATTTTACAGAACAAAGCTGAGGCTCACGTGAGGCATTTTGTTGAATCCAGGCCTTTCTGACTCCACAGAGCTTAGTTTTTTCTCTTTTTTTGTAATAGTTTCATTGAGATATAATTCATTTAAAGTGTACAATTCAATGATTTTTAGTATATCCACAGAGTTGTGTGACCATCACTAAGTCAATTTTGGACATTTTCATCACCTCAAATCCTGTATCCTTTAGCTGTCACTCCCATCTCATCTTCCCATCCCCCAGCCCTAGGCAACCATGAATCTACTTTCTCTGTCTCTATAGATTTGCCTATTCTGGACATTTCATGTAAATGGAATCATGTATTGTATGATCTTTTTCATTTTTAAAAGAACCCGAAGTGCACAAAATGGAGTTACTCACAATCCTTGGCTCATAAAGCACTGTCGACATGAATCCATGAAGAGTCTGCCACTTAATCCAAAAAGTAGACCATTAACCCTAATTTACATCCCCTAATGTGCTTTTCCTCTGTCCTATTCCTCTGCCTCTCCCATTCAGAGCTGACCACTCCAAGTGGGAGTTTTGTGTTTATCATTCCCTTGATTTGTTTATATATAGTTTCACCACTCTCTATATGCATTCATAAACATTTTGTTCATAAATTTGAACTTTATTGTTTGAACTATAGTCATAAATTAGTACATTGGGACTCATTTCTTTCATTCAATATTATACTATTGAGATTCATCTATGTTGGTGCATAAATCTATAGTTTATTCATTTTCCTTTATGTGACTCTACCATAATTTACCCATTCTCATGCCAATGGGCATTTGCGGGTTTTTTCCAGTTTTTTTGCAATTATGAACAGTGCTACTTTTTCATGGTGTACACGTACAAGCATTTCTCTTGAGCAAATACCCAAGAATGGTATTGGTAAATGGCAGCACACTTAATTGTTTTCTAAAACGATTGCAACATTTTACAGTCCCGTCGGCCATTATAACAGACCCTGTTGATACATCCTCTTCAACCTCAGTATTGTCAGACATCTTAACTGTTGCTAATTGAGTCTAAACTGGTATTTCATCACGCTCTTGATTTGCATTGCCAATTCATGTTTATCGTCCATGTTTTCCCTCTTCTGTGAAATACCTGTTCTTGCCTTTGCCCATTTTTACCTACTGGATTCTTTGTCTTGTTCTTATTGAGTTGAATTTATTTTAACTTTTGTCAGTTTATATGTGTTGCAAATACTTCTTTCTGATAGTAGACTGCATTTAGTTTTCTTTAAGCTATCATTTGACAGGCAAAAGGTCTTAATTTTATCATAATTGAATTTGCATGTCTTCTAATCTAGACAAAATGCATGAGACAACCGTTTTCAGGCAGTAGACAACAGGCAACACAACACTGGGCTTACTGAAGCAATGAAATCACGAAGTAAGTTCCATTAGTCCAACTTCTCCACCTAAGGACGATTTCCCAAAAGCAGCACATTGGGCTGGAGTCCAAGCAGAGCATGGCAGTCCCACAAAGCTGGTGAGGCAGAGATCAGACTTTTGAGCAGCTGAGGCAGCCAGCATCTTCAAGGCAGTACAGCAGCAGGGAGGGAACTGGCAGAGGGAGTATTCCAAGTGCGTGTGGGGATTGCCTTCAGGTACTCAGCTGACGGCTGGGTTGCACAGCTTGACAGATGGGTGTATTTTAGTGGGAAGCATTAACTCATCTATTATACAATTTTGATATTTCAGAGGTTTCCAGGAGGAAACAAGACTTTAGTTCCTGTTATTTAGTGTCTAAAGTAGTCATGATAGATGGTTACCTAGTTAACATTTATTGAGCATTAATTATAGCTCTTTTATTCTTCATAGCAATCCAATGAGATAAAATCTATTGTCTCCAATCTACAGGTGAAGAAATGGAGAGCGCTTAGTAACTGGCCCAAGAAGTCACGGAACTACCAAATGGTAACCCAGGATTCAAACCGAACGGTCTCCTGAGTCCCTACACTTGGCAAACACTTGCCAAGACATTGCTTCCTAGGAGATAGGCACACTTGGTCCCTAACTTTCATGAATTTTCTTCAGTTCAGCTCAATGAATATTTCATGAGCCAGAAATTCTGTTCGCTGTTGGTGATATAGACGTTAGTAAGCCTAGTATAATACACTATTGAGAAAGACAGATGGACAAAGATAATGAAACGACGTTGCAATTTGCTAAGAGGCTATATTGGGAAGGACTCCACACAGGGTGAGGACACAGAACGGGCAGCTACCGAGCCTGGCAGAGTGAGGAGAGGTGCGGCTTCGGCTGACACCCTCTGGGCTATGGATCCCCTCTATTCTTTTCCTTGCTACCCAGCTCAAGCCTGGCATGTTATACTCACTGACTGAACTGGGAGGCAGCACAGAGGTGCAGCCAGAGCAGGATCTTTGGAACCACACTAACTGGGTTAGGAGCCTGGTGTCAACCCTGTCAGCTGGGGCCTTGGGCAAGTTACCTAATCTGCAAGGACCCCACTTTCTGTCTTGGTAAGACAGGGACAGTTCCTAGGGTTGTGGTGATGACATGATGAGATGTAAAGCCCCAGCATGCTTGATAAGCTTTAGCAATTATTATTCATGAAACTGCCTTTAACCTTAGTGGACCTAAAAAGAAATTTCACGGTTGTTGACTCACACTGCTCTTGCTGCACAATTAGATATGAACACTTGTTACAAAAATTTCAAGCAACTAAGCTTTCTGTGAGAACCAAGAACCACATCTGCACATCTCTCTTTCATGCTCCCCTCCGTGTGCATGAGAGTTCATAAATCCCATTACTTTGGACTAAAGGTTTCAGGGAAGAGAGGCCCTGACGATCTTGGCCTGTGCTTTGTGATGATGTCCACATCCTCTGCGAGTTTCATTCCTCAGGTGTTGCTCTTATACAGAACTCCTATCCAACCCAGTCATGGACTCCCACAGTGAAGCTGGCCCTAGTCAGGTGGTAGCTTTAACTTGGTTTATTTTGGTTCTGTGGGGCACCTCCTTGTTTCATACGTATTATAAGGTTGGGTACTTATTTGTTGATAGTCATTTCTTACTAAGTATAAAATACTGAATTAAATTATTGACAAAGCATAATTTGTCCCCCAATTTTCTTGCAGAGGTTTTAAAATTAATAGGAACATAAGCCAATGGGGAAAATGTGTGGTTTGCCATCTAAAATTGCACTTGCACTGAAGTCAGCGAGCCTTACTGGAACTCAAATACTAGATATCTGAACAGTCAATGTGTAAGAGCCAAGACAGTTTTGAAGAAGCACTTACTCTACCAGTTATTACAACATGTTATAAAGCTCAGCTCATGTTCCGGGAAAGTTGTTCTTGGCTTCTGAACCAAGCTTTCCCACTGGGCTTACTGTGTGACCCCGGGACAGGATTTCACTGGCAAGGTCTCCTCCACTGTCCAGCTGCCTACTGTGCATCCTAGTTTCCAAGAGAAAGGAGAGGACACAGGACTTCTAAAGCATGTCTTAGATTGCTGTGCCATGCAAACAAACCAACCTAGAGTCTTTTAAGTAGGGCCAGCACCCGCTGAAGCAGCTAGCCCGCTCTACCCTCTCTAAGCGGAATCATCCCTGAGTTAAAGGTACCCCTCCAAGGGCCGGCCCAGTGGCGCAGTGGTAAAGTGCACATGTTCTCCTTAGACGGCCCGGAATTCACTGGTTCGGATCCCGGGTGCGGACACGGCACCACTTGGCAAGCCATGCTGTGGCAGGCGTCCCACATATAAAGTAGAGGAAGATGGGCACGGATGTTAGCTCAGGGCCAATCTTCCTCAGCAAAAAGAGGAGGATTGGCAGCAGTTAGCTCAGGGTTAATCGTCCTCAAAAAAAACAAAGGGTACCCCTCCATCAGAAGGTCTCTTAGCACCAAACTGCCAGGACTTTTAAACCCAAAGAGAAAGGAGGAGTCGTCCTTTCCCAAATCTTTCTGTTTCCAAAATTCCTCAACAGAATCCATCACCAATATATTCTTCATGGTGGTAAACCTGACGTGGATCATTTAGAACCTAAAAGAAGAATGTAAATTCACTGAACAGTACCACGAGTTACATTCACTATGCAACAGTCAGAGGCAAATTATCTACAAAGCAATAACTGCCGTAGAACTGGATTCTCTAATTAAATACATTTTTTATTCGAAGATTATTCCTTAATAAATGTTACATTTAACGGTACAAAAAGGAAAAATAAAATATTTGCAAAGAGCAAAGACAGTGAGACTGTTTCTATAGCCATAACAGACAGTAAAAGAAATGTAAAAAAAAATATAAAAATAACTTTTTTGTAGCCATAAAACTGGCTTCTTGAAACACCAAATAAATAAATACATTCGATAACTACCTAGCGAGCTGCTACACTGTAGCTACTGATCGGAAATAACTAAAATTCCGTATCAGAGTCCTGGATTTATGATACTGTATTTTTTCACTAATTTCTTCATCCGCTTAATTTTCTTCCTGAAGACTTGATGATCTTGTTTTGAAATATACCGAAAATATCTACAACCTAAAAAATAAAACAAAGCAACATGAAAAAAAATACCAGAGTTTTAATGAGTATCAAATTGCTCAAGTGTATTTCTTCATTTTTAAAATTTGCTTCAGTTTCTGGCATACCAATGACCATGAAAATAGACTGATTTGTATTATCTATACTCATAGGTCCTACGCACATTCTCAGAGCTGTCACCAATGAAATGTACTGCTTCCCACATACGATGACGTTTCTCCTCCATCATAATTAAAGCATAAACTTTAGCTTGTTCCTACTTTGCCTCCCAAACCCTAGTTAAGGTGAGATGCTTATTATATACATTCACATATTAAATGAGCTTCTCCAAACCAAATTACTAAAGGTTCCTTCTCAAGGTTAGCTTATAAAACAGCCAAGAGGCATTCATAATAAGAGACTAATCTGAGGAGAACCTCGACGGGAAGGATTAGAATAAATCAGTCGTGGGTTAGAAGAGATCAGAAATTGTCTCCTCACTCCAGCCATCAGGCGGGCAGCTGGACGGCGATAATGCAGGAGCCTGGCACTCAGCAGAACTTCCACCTGCTTCTCACAGAACTACAATGGTAAGAGGATCACTTGCTAAATATTTCAGAGACATGAAGCAAACTCAGGATCCATTTTTCCATTCAACAGTGATTTCTCCAGCCTCTATAGCCTTAGGCACGGTACCAGGTAAACTGTGACAGGAATGAATGGTCACTCTTTGTAATTTCAAAATCATCCAAGAGCTACGTCTAGATGAAAAGAAAACAAAGCCATGTACCTTTTCCTGACAATACTCCAGCCACCAAGGCCTTCTCACAAGCCAACGCTTTATCCTCCTTCCAATCACTTTTTGCCCAAAAGTAGCTGAAGTGAAAGCCTGGCCACCAGTTTTTCCTGGAGCTCCACTCTTCTTGAACCCAGGCAAGATGACTCCTGGAAAAGAAAAAGGTCAAAAGGGAAGGCCAATGATGAGGACAGATCTATAGTGTCAGAATCTGACCTTGAGTATAGTCTATGGAAAGATGACAAGGAAAACGAATTTCTGAGCATGGCCATGGTATATAGCACACGCATGAAAGCAAACCCTTTTCAGTCCTCCTTGATCTTCACAGCCCATTTTCCATCTAACTAACCAGTGAGTTCCGTACAGCACAGCGGTTAACAGCACAGACTCTGAAGTCAAAATCCTGGATTCACATCTCAGATCTTCCATTTACTTACTATCTGTGTGATCCTGGGCAAGGTGCTTAACCTCTCTGAGCCTCAACTTCCCTGAGGATATTAACGGTACCCATCTCATAGCATTGTTATTAGGATTAAATTGGTCCAGTAGTATAACAGTCTCATGTAAAGTCCCTGGCATGCTGTCTGGTACACAGTAAATGTTTAATGAATGTCAGCTATTATTATCATTACTTAAAAGTTACTTTAAAACCTCACTTTAAATTATATATGCTACAAAGAATTACTATCCAAGTTAAGATGCCATTTTTATACAAATACATGAACACACAGGTTTGGCAGTTGAACCCAGACAATGCTAAGTGTTCGTCAATAATTTAATCGAGCAAATACTTATTTAGCACCTATTTGCACCCTGTGGCAGAACTTTCAGAAGTTCAAAAATGAACAGTACATTTCTCTGCCTTCAAGAACCTTCTGGTTAGCAGGGGTTTACACAGTGTGTTAGAGGTGGAAAGTGGTTTCCGATGAGTACACCAACATTTCACACCAAAAACATTCTATAATCAGCACTGTGCTAGCTCCACGGTCAAGTCAGATCTGAAGCCTGAAACAAGTTCCCATAGATGATGAATTTCCTAACCTACTAAAACGATGTAATAAGTAAATGAAACTTAATTTTGTGATGTTCTTTCTTCTCACACACAGTGACAATGACAAAGGGCCACTCCTTTTCTTCTGCTCAAAATGTGGCAGTGATGAAATTATGATCACAGGTATAGTTTCAGATACCCAGCTCACAATGGGCTTAATAAATATTTGTTGAATGAATAACCTACACTGATCTAAGGAGACCCTAACAACCCCACTGAAAACAGCGGGGAGGAAGCTGCCCCCCACGCCTTCTCAGAGCTGACGACACACAAACCACAAAGAGCTTACAAAGAGTGTAGCGATCTAGCGACGGGTGGGAGTGACCCCTTCTAGTCCTTATTTCCAATTTGAAAACACACAGATCCCCCCGTAGTGTGGTGTAAGGTATAGTACTTATTTCGATAGCGTAAAAAGATCTTGATAGAATTTTGGTATGTTATACTTGGGACTTTGTATTTCCTTGCTTCTGATGTACTCAGAAGAAAACAGTGGAAGACAAATTCAAGAAATCCAAAAAACCCAAGCAAAGAACTTCACTTAAAAATTGACAGATACCAACTAAAATACTGGGAAACACTATTTATGCTGATCCAGTAGTAAACAGTGTGTCTCTTACTTACCCCATTAAGGTCTGTCGGAGATACTTGGCCAAATATTTCCAAGCAGTTATATTTTTAGTGCATCCAGCAAAATCTAGGACTGCAAATAACACCTCCAACCCCAGCTTGTGGTGTTCTTCTTTTTCTGCAATGGTCACAACAGTTAGAGTTTCCTTTAGGTATTGAAGTGCACAAAGCTGAAAAACACATTCAGTTGATAAAATACTACTGCATCCTGAGTCTTCTAGTTTGGTTAACAGCTTAAAATAATTCATGATGCTCGTACTCTCCTGAAATGAATCTGAACAATCTAATAATTTAGTCCATGCTAATGAATTCAGGGGTTAGTGTGATCTCTATATGGGTTATATTCTACTGAGAACACTGTTTAAAATAACTGCCCTATTTGGACATTTTATAGTTCTCTTTTCTTAGAAGAACTGAGTAGTCCCAGTACCTACTGGACTTAAGCTGATTTTCTCCTATGAAGAAGTCCGTTCTTCTACATACTGAGCTGAAACCCAGTAGGGATTAAAATGAGGTGAATTATATAAATTAAAGACATTTCTCTCTTGCTAATTATTGACTAATGTTCTATTGCAGGGGTCAGCAAACTTTCTGGAAAGGGCCAGACGAAATATTTAAGCCACACATTCTGGGTCACAACCATGCACCTCTGCTGCTGTAATGCAAATGCAGCCACACACAATATGAAAACCAACGGATGTGGTTGTCCTCCGGCACAACCTGACTGATAAAGACAGGCGAGGGGTGGATCTGACCCATGGGCCACAGTTTGCTATCTCTCGCCTACAGCTTACCCGTGCAAAGAGATGTAAAACAAAAATTATTTACCTGATTTTCTCAGTAATCTATGGAATTCTAACATCAGTTTATGAGATGGTACAATCTGATACAAAATCTGGAAGAAAGAATAATCTTGTAATTTTACATATTCTCAAATTTCAGCTTACTTTCAAGTTCCTACTGTCTAATATGCCCTCAGGAAATGAGGCAAGGATTTAAAAGATACTTTGCTTTTATCCAGTTTCAATTTGGGTATAGAAAGGTGTTCTATGTAAAGTTTTTTTAAAAAAAAAATTCTCCACTAACAACAAGATAGTCACGGGGGTGGGGGAAAGAGATGGGGACATTTTAGTTTCTCCTTACTCATTTTTATACCATTTACCACATGTAAAACCTTAATTTCTTTTCAGAAACCAGGACTAAGAAAAAAATAAAGGAAAACAAGAATCAACATCACACAGAAAAGATATTTAATGCTTATTGATCACAAGATGTCACAGAATAATTATATAAAACAAAAAACCCAGAAAGGCATGAATGACTATTTTGGAAGACTGTGCTCAGGAACACAGTACAGAGAAAGGATTCGAGTAAGTATTTATACAACCTTTTCACACAATAGGGAGAAATTAAAGATTCTTCTTTTTAAGAATAGGAAGGACTATTTCTATGAATATTCGAAAAATAGGATTTTAAGAAAAACTGTAATTCTTATTTCAACACACTTAATATTAGAAATGCATTCATTCTGTCTGTTTGCTGAGGCCCTCCGACCTTACACTGAAATAATTTCCTACAAAATGAAAAGTAAATTTCATTAATTTCTCTTAATAATTTTTGAAAAGAAGCTCAATCAATCAAGATCAATATTCTAATATTCTCATATCAGAGAGAATTATTAACAGTCGGTTCCTGTGAAATCACATCTGTCTTATGATTTAAGGAATTCTGCATATGACTTAATTCATTTAGATTTTTTTAAAACGTTTTATTGAAATATAACATAAGGAATAGAAATGAATACAAATGCTGAATGTGTCCTTCAATAAACTTTCACAAAGTTATACACACTCGTGTAACAAGCACCCAGATCAAAAAACAGAACATTATCAGAATTCTAGAAGTCTTCCATCAGTTTTGGGAAATTCTTAGCCGTTAGCTCCTCAAATACTGGCTTTTTTGTTGGTTGCATTATCTGCTCTCGCCCTGTTCTCTCTCTCTTTTCCCTGGGACTCCAATTATTAATACAGTCGCGTGGCGCATAACAACATTTCAGTTAGCGACGGACTGTATGTACAACGGTGGTCCCATAAGACCAGTACCATACAGCTAGGTGTGCAGAGGGCTACACAACCCAGGTTTGTGTAAGTCACTCTATGATGTTCACACAACAGCAATATCACCTAATGACGCATTTCTCAGAACGTATCCCCATTGTTAAGTGACGCATGACTGCATGTCAGACCTTGTCACCAAGTCTTTGTACACTCTTTTCTGCCCTTTTTATCCTTTTGTTTCCGTGCTTTAGTCTGATATTTTCTATATGGTCCATTAATCCTCTCTTCTACTATGTTCCATTGGCGATTAAACCCAGCTATTGAGTTAATTTCAAACAGTGAAGTTTTCAAAAGGAAAAACGGAACTTCTCTAAATCTATCTTGTCATGAACATAAATAAGCGTTCAACACAGTTATTCTCTGTTATACTTTAAAAAGTCTTTTCAGAAACACCATTGGTAATTGACAATCCGAATGAAGTCACCATCTTGCTATGTTCTAACTATCTGTAATCTTTTGTTGTACAAATGGGTAAAAGGAAACCTTGGAGGGTAAGGTTAGAAGAGCAACTTCCAAAGTATTATGCAGTAAAACAAAGCCTGTTAAAAACTTCACAAAATGTACAGTTTCCACATCTGAGGGTTTGATAATGTCAATTTTAATGAACATGTAAGTACACATTAGAGCTAATTGGCTTTTTCAAAGAAGACTGATAGATAAGGATTTTTCTCAGTCATCTGTTTAGGTTGAAAAGGACCTTTCTTTTTCTTCCTCCTCTAAAATATCATGTCAAAAACCAACCACAAAATATATAAAGAACTCCTACAATCCAACAACAGAAAGATAAATCACCCAATTCAAAAAAAGGCAAAGGACTTGAAAAGACATTTCTCCAGAGAAATACAGATAGCCAATGAGCACATGAAAAGTTGCTCAATATCACCAGCCATTAGAGAAACGCAAATCAAAACCACAATGAGATGCCACTTCACATCCATCAGGACAGCTATTATCAATTAAAAGAAAAAAAACAAGTGTTGGTGAGGATGTGGAGAAATTTAAATCCTCATGCATTGCTGGTGGGAACGTAAAATAATGCAGCTGCTGGGAAAACAGTCTGATGGTTCCCCTAAAGGTTAAACAAAGAATTACCACATGATCCAGCAATTCCACTCCTAGATATACACCCAAAACAAGCGAAAGCAGGGAAACACATACTTGTACACTCATGTTCACAGCAGCACTATTCACAACAGTCAAAAATTGGAAACAACCCAAATGTCTATCAACAGATGAATGGACGAACAAAATGTGTAATATATAAACAAAAGAATATTATTCAGCTTAAAAAGGAAGGAGATTCTGATCATGCTATAACGTAGATGAATTCTCAAAACATGCTAAACGAAATAAGCAAGACATAAAAGGACAAATACTGTATGATTCCACTTAGATGAGGCTCCTAGAACAGGCAGATTCCTTGAGACAGAAAGTAGACTAGAGTTAGCAGGGGGCTGGGGGTGGGGGTTGTGGGGACTTACTGTGCAAAGGATACGGAGTTTCTGTTTGCGACGATGAAATAGTTCTGGAACTGGATAGTGGTGATGGGTGCACAAAATTCTGAACATACCTAATGTCACTAAAGTGTACACTTACAACTAAATGGTAAATTTTATGTTACGCATACTTTACCACCACAACAAAAACCTTCTAAAGCAATACCACGTACAGTAACCATCCAAAACATGAAACACTTAGGGATAAATTTAACAAAATATATACAATCAAAACTACAAAACATTTCAGAAAGAAATAAAAGACCTAAATGAATGGCAAATGATGGACAGACATATCATGTCCAGTTTGGAAACATCAATTTGTTAAGATGCCAATTCTTTCAGAATTCACCCACAGGTTCAAAATCCTAGCAAGATTTTCTTGAAGCAACAAATTGATTTAAAAATGTATATGGAAAGTCAAAGAACATAGAGAAGCTAAAAACAACTTTGGAAAAAGACAAATTTGTATGACTTTCATGGTATGATTCCAAAACTTGCTATAAAACTACAGTAATCACGATATGTGGTACTGGCATATGATGGAAATATACATCTATACAATATAGATGTAGAGAAATAGAGGTAGAGAAATATACTCTATACAATAGAGTCCATATCTATGATCAATTGATTTTCAACAAAGTTAAAAATGTAATTCAACAGCAGAAGAAGGGTAGTCTGTTCAATAAATGGTGCTCAAAAAATCGTATGGAAAATAATAAACTTTGACCTCATACTACACAAAAAAATTAGCTGAAAATCTATCATAGACCTAAACAAAATTATAATGCTTCTAGGGGGAAAAAAAAAGAGAATCTTCATTATCTTGAGGTAGGCAAAGATTTCTTAGACAAAAAGTACTAACTATAAAAGAAAAATGAATAAACTATACTTCATCAAAATTACAAATTTCTGTTCTTTGAAAGATAGTGTTAGGAAAACCAAAAGGTAAGCCACAGACTGGAAGAAAATATTCACAATCCATATATCTGACAAAGGACTTGTATCCAGATTATACTAAAAACTTTCAAATCAGTAAGAAGGCAACCTTCCAAAAAAACAGACAAAACATTTGAACAGACACTTCACAAAAGAAGATACGGGGGGGCCGGCCTGGTGGCTTAGCTGTGAAGTTTACACACTCCGCTTCGGCGGCCCACGGCCACCAGTTTGGATCCCAGGCGCAGACCTATGCACCACTTATCAAGCCATGCCATGGCAGGCGTCCCACATATAGAATAGAGGAAGACGGGCACAGATGTTAGCTCAGAGCCAATCTTCCTCAGCAAAAAAGAGGAGGATTGGCAGTGGATGTTAGCTCAGGGCTAATCTTCCTCAAAAAAAGAAGATACAGGCATATTAAAAGATGCTCAACGTCATTCGTCATTAGGGAAATGCAAATTAAAACCACAGTGAGACACCACTACACACCTACTAGAATGGCTATAATTCAAGACTAACAATACCAAATGTTGATGAAGATGTAGAGAAATTGAACTTTCACACATCACCGGTGGGAATATCAATGGTACAGTCACTCCAGAAAACATCTAGGCAGTTTCTTAAGAAGTTAAACATATACTTTCCAGCAATTCTACTCTTAGCCAACTACCCAGGAAAAATGAAAATATATGTGCACACAAAGATTTGTACATGAATGTTGACTGTAGCATTCATAGTAGCCAAAAAGTGCAATAACCCAAATGTTCGTCACGAAATGCATGTATTAAACTTTAAAAAAAAAAAAAAAAAAAAAAAAAAATGGACTACTCCTCAGCAGTAATAAGGAACAAATTACTGATATGATATGGATGAATCTCAAAAACATGACGCTGAGCAAGAAAAGCCAGACAAAAAAAGGAGTACATACTGTAAGATTTCATTTATATGAAATTCTAGAAGAGGTAAAATTAATCTATAGTCACAGAAAGCAGATCAGTGATTACCTGGGGCCAGGAATATTGGGGGGAATGAGGGACTTTCTGGGGTGATGGAAACGTTCACTACCTTATCCTGGTGGTTACATGGATGTATATATTTGTTAAAATGCATCCAAGTGCACACTTAAAATAAGTGCTTTACTACATGTAAATTATATTTCAAAAAGGTCCTTTTTAAAAAACAGCAATGCAGAACTTTCCAACCAGGATGGCAAAGGGTTTCTGAAATACTGACCCTCGCCCCTCAGTCTCTCTTGGGCAGGGGGTGGCAGAATGATAGTGGGGGGTCTCCTGGCCCTGCAGCCTCCTGTTTACCTCAGTGTACCCCACACACACTGTCATTTTATGGGTGCTATAATACAGAAGTTGGAAAGCAATGACCTAAGAATGTTTTAAAGTAGATCCCCAATCCTGTTCAAACTTTGAATAAAAATTCTGTACCTTAAGCACGCTTATCAGTTTCTCTCTTGGGGCCTTCTCTCTCTTGAGAAAGTTGTATAAGTAGATATGAGCATTTGGATTCGATGGGAACTTCTCATCATAGGCATAATTGGTGAGAACCTCTCGGGCTCCATCTTGATCCCCATAGAATTCCAGCATCTATATAAAATGAGTCATAATATCTTAGCCAAACTCTGTAAGATAGCTACATGAAAGATAATGCACAACTTAACTTTATTGATGGGTACAAAAAATTATAAAAGTGACAAGTAGTATATACTGTTTAGGGAACCAGAGTAATGACAGCTTTTGCTTTCACCAGCACAGGTTACAATCTCTATGGAACACAGAAGATCAGCTGCAACCCTTAGGGTTTCTCATTTTTCTTTAGCATATTTTGTTACTGAAAAATGCAGCAACTTCAACCTAAGAACTGTTTCTATAAAAAATAAAGTTCTCAAAGTAGGGCACACTAACAACGGAAAAAAGACCATAGAATGTCGCTAACCTCAGTGCCCTACATAACTTTAGGCACAAAAGGAGTAAATGGAAATTATAATTCCATTCACCTCATTCCCTTCCTTACACAGGAATTTCCAGATTTACTGTCATATGGTTCCAGAGATTATCTTCTGACAACACAATTATCACTTAAGCACTCATGAAACTTTCAAAAAGCAAATTATTTTAACAAACAGACAGACAGAGAACAGACTGGGGGTTACCAGATGGGGAGGGAGGCGGGGGAAGGCGAAAGGGGTAAAGGGGCACATATGTACAGTGTTGGATGGAAATGAGACTTTTGGTGGTGAACAGAATGCAGTCTATACAGAAATCGAAATATAATGATATACACCGAACATTTATGAAATGTTAGAAACCAACGTGACCTCAAAAAAATAAATAAATAAGTAAAAAAAAAAAAAAGGCAAAATATTTTGATGATTTATTCCTACTGCCAAGGCCCCCTGTTCTTTCACAATGACCCTGGGATAGCAGGACATCCTTATGAACTTCCTAAAAGGCATTATCTTCATCTCATACATTGTGACCTACTTTCGGATTTCTGTCCCCTTCCCTTCTATACCCCTTCAAATCATAAAAGATCTTTCTCCTTTTCTTTTAAACTCAATACGAATAACATAGAATCGATATTTACAACTACGTTGTTATTTATTTTATAAATATTTGGCCATGACATGTTATCCAGTGGTGAAATAAACACAGAACAACATTTAAAGTACACTAGTAAAATAAACAAAAATTATTCAGACCAAAGAAAAGACATGATGTTCTTTTTTTCTTAAACCATTTTCTCCATTAAGTATCTTCTGATCAATAAAGATTAGGTTTAAAACCAAATGAAACTAATAAAACTGTATAAAAAGTCTACTTACCTCTACGTAACTCTTCACAAAAGGGTCCCAAACTCCAGGAATTTGAATCAATGCACCAAGGTTTACAGACGTCTTCCAGCTGTGGTCGAGCATATTCTGGGACGCTGTGTTGTACGCATAATCATCCTTATCTACCCAGAGAAAAGAGATTTTGAAAAGTCATGCACTATTGAGGACTTTTGCTGAATTAGTAATCAATAAACTACCCACAAGGAAAGCTCAGGCCATAATGGCTTCACTAGGGAACTATAACTAACATTTAAAGAATAATACTAATTCTTCACAAACTTTTACCCCCCCAAAAAACAACAGAAGGAACACCTCCCAACTTATTCTATGAGGCCAGTACCACCCTGATACCAAAACCAAAAAGAACAAAGAAAAGAAAACTATAGTCCACTATCTCTTATGAAGATAGATGCAAAACTTCTCAATAAAACACTAGCAAACTGAATCCAGCAACACAGAAAAAGGATTACAGACCATGCTCAAGTGGGATCTACTCCAGGAATGCAAAATTGTTTAATATCCCAAAATCAATTAATGCAAGACACCAAATCAACAGAATCAAGGACAAAAACTATATGATCATCTCAACTAATGCAGAAAAAGCATTTGATAAAATTCAATAATCTTCATGATAAAAACACTCAACATCTAGGAATCGAAGGAACTTCCTCAATCTGATAAAAAGCATCTATGAAAAACCCACAGCTAACATCAGACTTCAAGGTGAAAGACTGCATGCGAGAGCGGATGTCCTCTCTTGCCACTGCTATTCAACCTTGTACTGGGGGGCCAGCCCTGTGGCTCAGTGGTTAAGTTCACACGCTCCGCTTCAGTAGCCCAGGGTTTCACTGGTTCAAATCTTGGGCGCGGACATGGCACCGCTCATCAGGCCATGCTGAGGTGGCATCCCACATGACACAACCAGAAGGACCCGCAACTAAAAATATACAACTATGTACTGGGGGCCTTTGGGGAGAAGAAAAAAAAATTAAGATTGGCAACAGATGTTAGCTCAGGTGCCAATCTTTAGCAACATTGTACTGGAGAGATTCTAGCCATGGCAAATAGGCAGAAAAATAATACAAAAGATTTCCAGATTGGAAAAGAAGTAAAACAATCTCTATTTGCATATGACATGATCTCGGACATAAAAAAATCCTAGGACTCCACTAAAAACTTACTGGAATTAACAAACGAGTTCAGTAAAGTGACAGGATATAAGATCAATACATAATAATTAATTGTACGTCTACATAGTTGCTGTGAACAATCCAAAAATGAAATTAGGAAAACAATGCCATTTCCAATAGCATCAAAAACAATAAAATACTAAGGTATAAGTTTTACAAAAAAGATATGAAATTATACTCTGAAAAGTAAAATTGTTCAAAGAAATTAAAGAAGACCTAAATAAATGGAAAGACATCCCACGTACACGGGTTGGAAGACTTATCACAGTTAAATCAATTGATAGCTTCAATGCAATTCCTAGCAAAATCCCAGATGGCTTTTTTGCATAAACTGACAAGCTGATCTTCTAACTCATATGGAAATGCAAGGGACCAAGAACAGTAAAAACAATCTTTAAAAAAGAGGAACAAATTTGAAGGATTCACACTACGACTTCAAAAGTTACTATAAAGCTACAATAATCAAGACTGCACGATACAGGCATAAGTACAGACATATGTAGACCAACAGAAGAGAATTTAGAGTCCAGGAATAAAACTTCGTACCTATGGGCAACCGATTTTTGATAAGGGTGCCAAGATAATTCAGTGGGAAAATAAGAGCCTTTTCAATAAACAGGCTGGAACTACTGGATATCCACATGCAAAATTACAGAATTGGACCCCTTCCTACCTCAGGCCATATACAAAAATTCACTCAAAATGGATCAAAGACCAGAATGTAAAACTATAAAACTCTCAGAAGAAAACCTAAGTGTAAATCTTTGCGACCCTGGAGTAGGCAACAGTTTCTTAGATACGACACCAAAAACACAAGCAATAAAGGAAAAAATAGATAAATTGAACTTAATCAAAATTAAAAACTTTCGTGCTTCAAAGAACATCATTAAGAAAGTGAAGATAATCCACAACAATATTTGTAAATTATATATCTATCCGATAAGGGACTCATATCTAGAATATATAAAGAACTCTCACAACTCAATAATAAAAAGACAAGTAATTCAATTAAAATAGGAGCACAAGATCTGAATACAAATTTCTCCAAAGAAGATACACAAATGGACCATAAGCACATGAAAAGATGCTCAACATCATTAGCCACTAGGGAAATGTACACCAAAACCTCAGTAAGATACTACGTCACCCTCACTAGGATGGCTATGATCAAGAAGACAGATAACGGCAAGTGTTGGCTGGGATGTGGAGAAATCATTACCCTCATATACTGCTGGTGGGAAAGTAAAATGGCACGGCCGCTCTGGAAAACAGTCCAGTGGTTCCTCAAAAGGATAAACATAGAGTTACCATGACCCAGCAATTCCATTCTTAGGTACATAACCCAAGAGAAATAAAAACATAAATCCACACAAAAATTTATAAGTGAATGTTCATAGCAACATTATTCAAAATGGCCAAAAACTAGAAAAAAAACAAATGTCCATCAACTGATGAATGAATACATAAAATGTGGCATATCCATACAATGGAATGTCACTCGGCAATGAAAAGGAATAAGTACCATAACAGGCTACAACATGGGTGAACCTTAAAAACATTGTGCTAAGTAAAAGAAGTCAGTGACATTTTATGATCCCATTTGTATGAAATGTCCAGAATAGACAGATCTCTAGAGACAGAGAGATTAGTGGTTGACCGGGACTGGGGGACACAGGGGAATTGAGAGTGACTGATAATGGGTACAGGGTTTCTTTTTAGGGTGGGGAAAATGTTCTCAAATTGATTAGGGTAAATGATGCACAACTGTGAAAACACTACAGTGCACTGAATTGTTCACTTCAAGTGGGTGAATCATATTGAGAATTGTATCTCAATTCTCAATAAAGCTGCTCCTAAAAAAAAACATGAGAGATCACTACACCCAACAAATTGGATGATATGAAAAATCTGACAAGTACAAATAGTGAGAAAATACAGACAAAAGAAAATCCTCATCAGAATACTAGTGGAATATAAATTGGTAACCACGTAGGAAAGAGTTTAGCCTATGATATACTAAAGCCGAAGACACACATACTCTATGACAACAACTCTACTCACAGAAATTCATGCTTATGTGTATCAGTACACATGCCCAAGAATTTCAAAGCAGCACTATTTTATAAGAGCCCCAAACTATTAATAACCTAAATGGCTATCAATAAATAGAAGGAATAAACTGTGTAAATATCATACAATAAAATGTTTTACAACAATAAAAATGAATGAACTAGAGCTAATTCAACTATATGGATGCATGTTAAAACTAATGTTGACCAGGGCCAGCCCCGTGGCCGAGTGGTTAAGTTCACGTGCGCCGCTTGACAGGCCAGGGTTTGCCAGTTCAGATCCCAGGCATTGACCTGCACACCACTTTTCAACCCGTGATGTGACAGGCATCCCACATATAAAGTAGAGGAAGATGGGCACAGATGTTAGCTCAGGGCCAGTCTTCCCCAGCAAAAAGAGGAGGATTAGCAGCAGACGTTAGCTCAGGGCTAATCTTGCTCAAAAAAAACAACTAATGTTGAACAAAGTATGCAAAGCCCAAAAGAATAAATACAGTTTGAATTTAAATATGACATTCAGATATAGGTAAAACTAAAATACAGTGTGTACAAATGCACTTGAGTGGTAAAAGTACTTTAAAAAGCAGGGAAGTGATCATCGTTAAAGTCAAGACAGTGGTTTTCTAGAGACGGAATGGGAGGAAGTGTGACCAGGAAGGCACACATGGGGACCTCCTGGGGGACAGCAATGTTTTGTTCCTTAATCTAGGTGGTTGTTACACGGATGTTTGTTTTATAATAATTCATTCTATAACACATTTGTTTTGTATACTTTTTCTGTAAACAGTCATGCGTTGCTTAGCAACAGGGACACGTTCTAAGAGATGTGTTGTTAAGGTGATTTCCCCGTTGTGCGAACGTCACAGAGTGCACTTACACAAACCTAGATAGCATAGCCTCCTGCACATCTAGGCTATTCGGTATTAATTTTATGGGCGCACCCTTGCATATGCAGTCCATCACTGACCAAAACGTTATGTGGTGCATGACTATATTTCATAATCTTTAAGGTTTAAAAGAAAAGTTACTCAGACTTTCAAAAGCAATAGATAATAGAGCCACAAAATACTTTTTGGTACCAATGCTGCTTTTTGGCCATGCTACTCTGTGGCCGAGAAAGTAGCCCCCCAAAAAAAGAGGAATTGGTGTTCTCTTCCAGTGGATCACCTGAATAAATGTCAATATGAACTTGGAAATGAGGTGTTAAGGGAAAAGTAGGTAAGAAATTACGAAGAAAAATTTTTTTGAAGAAAAAGGCAGATCCCTGAGTAAGTATAAGTTGGGTGTGAATTTACCACGAAAGGGGGTTCCTAGTCACCAAGGACATCAAAGCCAACCAGGACAGGCCACAGCAGCAAGGCAAAATCCCAAGCCAACTCTGAGAGCAAGTGCGTGTGCTACATTCTCGTGAGTCTGGTTACAGAGAACTCTTCCTAACTTATTTTCTCATGAAGTAGACATCTAGGTTATAGATCCTCTAAAGAACTCCATATATTACCCTAGCTCCATCTCTTGTTGCTACAGAACAAAGTGTCAGCTGAAGAACGGCCTTGAATCATGGTCCACAGGAGAGCCGGTGTAAATGCCATGTTCCAACTGCTTTAATCATCAAATATTTGCTTAAGTTTTCCCCAACCACGTGTAAGAAGAAAAGTAAACACAGACCTTTAAACTCATCTAATCAATTTATATCAGCAAGTCTTTTTTAAAAGAAATATTACAGCAGGCATTACGGCAAGGTTAAGAAAAGAAACAGAAGACAGACATGTGATCTCAAAAGACTGATCAGTCTAGATGAGGAGACACAACATAAAGTACACATGAAAAAACTTAGAATAATGAAAAAGCAAGAGACGAAGAGCCAAATGATATAAGCTGAACATGAGGCTGATACATTAGGTTTGAGGTCTAAGAATGAGGGTCCAATGAGTCCTGAAGGGCAGAGGGCATCCTAGATGAAGACACTGCACCAAGACCTTGCCAGATGATCATGATGAAGACGGCATTTCAGAAGCGTCTTGGAAGAGATCACAGACAGAAAGAAGGTCAGGAATTTTGGGATTAGTGAACCTCCACGCCTGGAGATCAAGGAAACACTGCTCATCACATAAGGATAATACGGAAACACTACTTACCACATGCGACGTGATAAATACCAGGACTGAGATTTGGATGGAGGATGTGAAAACAGAAAGGAAACAATCCTAGAGAAGTTATGGAGAAAAACTACGCAAGAGAAGGGGAAGTGCAGAGAATCAACCAATCAATACAGCTCCAAAGAACACAAGTCTGGGGACAGGAGAGGAGGACATCACCACTGAAAGGAAGGGAAAGGGAATCAGTTTGAGAAGTCAGGACACACGGTCAATTTTTGGTGTGGTCAGTAAATCGAGAGAATTGTTATGACCTTTGGACAGAAATAAAACAACTTTATCTTGCCCTGTTCTTTAAACATATTACTATTCTGAGAAACCACCCTACAAAGCAAACTAAACTCCATTCTAAACACAAAGCAAGACATGTTTATCATATGTAATAATGCCTACCGAAGAAAATGTGTAACCATTCTCGGAAATCATATTTTAAAAAGTAACAAATCTAAAATGGTCATGAACTTAATTTAGGAATATCTAATTTATGTCTGAAAAGTCTTTTGATGTATCAGAAATATTATAAAGGATGATCAAGAATCTTCCATCAACAGAAATGTCTGTTCTCCGTACCACATGGATGAAGCCAGGCCAGGAAGCCGGGGAATCAGACGAGCCCTTCAGCTTTCTGTCCCTCTGAGTCAGTCTCATCACCACCAGACAAAGTCCACTCACATCCACTCACCGAGCTGGGACAATTCCATCTTCTTTTTAGACCAAGCATAATACTGCAAAAGCCCTTTATAGGCCTGAATAAGGTTGATTAAGACTTCCTGCGAAGATGACTTTTCACCGTATCTCCACGTCTCTGCCTGGCTGAGATTTCTGTTCGCATCCTCAAGCATTCCGTGATGCAGAAGGTACAGCGCGTGTTGTAAGGAGATCTGCAACAAGGATAAGAAAAAGCCCACTGACAAATACGTCATTAGACAACCACCAGTCAGAAAGCTCGGTAAACATATGATATGTGACGAGCTAAGACCTTGGCAGGCCACAAATGATGTAACAACATCATCCCTGTCATCCAAAATTTCAATCTAGCAAAGAGGAAACAAACATGAGACAATCAACACTATGTAAACGAGAGCACAGTCATACAAACTTACAAACAGAAGACAGTGTGATCTCGTGAACAGAGCAGGGGCTTTGAAGACAGAGAGACCTGGATCAGATGCTAATTAAAAGCTACATAAATCTGAGGATGTCACTCAGCCTCTGAGAGTCTTATCTGTTACACGGAACAATTATTATTAACCCTTCAGAAGAGAGTTTTGAGGATTAAATAAGATAATATTTGCATACCACCTAACGCCTACTTTGGTCCATAGCAGGCAATCAATACCTTATTTTATACATGTTATATAAGCTCAGAGACATCTTAATAAAGGGTATTGAAGAATGACGTCGGTTTAGATGGAAAGGTAAGTGAATCGCTGACACAGGAGAAGCAGTAAGAATAATTACACAAAGAAGAGTGCTACAGGGAGGGGGGAGGCTAAGGAGGAGAACAATGGGAATCCAGCTAATCACGTGAGTAGAGTCAGACCACAGAGTTCAAGGCCTTCATCACAAACTATTGCAATAATTTCTCAACTGGTCTCTCTGGTCTTGGTGCCATACAATCCATCTTCCACGTGGCTGCCAAAGACATCTCATCACGTTAATCATTGTGTGAAATCCTTCAACGGCTCCTACTGCCTACCCAAGCTCCTTAGGTGTGGCACACAGGGAGGCCTCCCTCTCCCCCGCTACTTCCCCTGGCTTCCAGCCAAGTGATTTTTAGACTAACTGAAGCACTGGCTACAGGGCTATCAAGCTCTTGACCAGCCCCCCACCATGCCAAACTACCCCTGCCCCCCGAACACCTAGGGAATACCCACTCCCTTTTCAGACTCATCTCAAGCATCACTTCCTTTCTTTTCTAGACTCCTCTGCTCATTCAATCCCAGCCCTCTCCAATTCCAGAGAGCTGGCCATTTTCTCCTTTGTCTTCTCACTGTCTGTTGCATTATTACAGTACCCATAATAATTTATTCCATTTACATGTCTGTCTCCCTCTACTGCAAGAAACACTTCTAGCACATAACCTGGAAAATAGCAGTAAGTGTTTTTAAAATTATAAACAATAGAAAACAGTTTATTGCCTATTCTAATTATCACCTTCTGACTCTGGAGTGTGAGATAAGGTTCTTCTCAGGTTTCCTTACCACAACTGAATAGACTCTATGAGCCCAAAAGGACATACCCAATAATTTAGTTAAAAGTCTACTCTCCCTCCCCAGTGAAATGGCTATCCAGTTTCTTCCTGAAAGAAGAGAAGAGGAGCACACAACACCGAGACAGGCCATTCTTTTCTCCAATTGTTCACTTAGTAAGTTCCTCCTTAAGTGGAACCATACACTGCCTCCATTTAAGTTCTACTCACGGTGTACTGGCATACCAGAGAATAAGATCATGAGAGAGCACCTGGCACATGAGTAGAAACTCAGGAGATTTTTTCCTGAATTAATCAGTCCACTCTAAAAAGAAACTGAAAGTGAGGGAAATCTTCAAAATTAGAAAGCTGTGGGAGTGCAAAATGGTGCAGCCAATGTAGAAAACAGTTTGATGATTCATAAAAAAGTTAAACACAGAATTATATGTTTCTATGTATATGTTTATATATATAATGTGACCCAGTTAATACTATTCTTAGGTACATACCCAAAGGAAGTGAAACAGGGACTCAAACAGATACTTGTAGGCCAATGGTCACTGCAGCATTATGCACAATAGCCAAAAGGTGGAACCAACCCAACAACAGATGAATGGATAAACAAAATGTGATCAATACACACAACAGAATATTATTCAGCCATAAAAGGGATGAAGTTCTGACACATGCCACCACATGGATAAGTCTTGAAAACATTAAGCTAAGTGAAATAAGACAAACACGAAAGGACAAATATATGATTCCACTCATACGAAATATCTAGAATAGGTCAATTCATAGAAACAGAAAACAGATTAGAGGTTACTGGAAGCTGGGAGGAGAAGTGAATGGGGATTAACCGCTTAATGGGTACAAAGTTTCTGTTTGGGGTGACAGAAAAGTTTTACAAATACTGGTGATGGCTGCACAACACTATGAATGTAATTAATGCCACTGAATTGTACAATCAAAAATGGTTAACATAGCATATTTTATGTTATATATATTTTACCACAATAAAGAAAACTTGGAAACTAGAAAAAGCAAGAATAAAACAAAATAGGAACCGCAGAGTACATATTAGGCTTTGTAGGCCAGAAGGTCTCCGTCACAACTACTCTACTCTGTCACCTGTCACGCTCAAAGCAGCTATTAACAATATGGAAACGAAGGGGTGTGGCTATGTTCCAGTAAAACTTTATTTAGGGACACAGAAAAAAATGAAAAAGCAAAGCATTTAAAAACTTTATTGAAAAAGTGCTCTTTTAGTCAAATATACATCACAGAGATGAAGATAGCTAACATTTTGGAAACATCTCAGTCCTTTTGGCTAAGATGTTTATCAAAGAACATATGAATTTGGAGAGGAAGTCCCCCTAAACATTAGGAACGGTACAACACTTTCACACAGGGGTGGGAAGAGTTAATATTGTTCAGATGTCCATACTACCCAAAGCCATCTGTAGATTCAATGCAATCCGTGTCAAAATTCCAATGGCATTTTTCACAGAAATAGAAAAAAATCCTTGGGGCCAGCCCGGTGGTGCAGCAGTTAAGCGCGCACGTTCTGCTTTGGCGGCCCGGGGTTTGCCGGTTCAGATCCTGGGTGCAAGGCATGCTGTGGTAGGTGTCCCACATATAAAAAGTAGAGGAAGATGGGCATGGATGTTAGCTCAGGGCCAGTCTTCCTCAGCAAAAAGAGGAGGATTGGCAGATGTTAGCTCAGGGCTAATCTTCCTCAGAAAAAAAAAAAAATCCTAAAATTTGTATGGAATCACAAAAGATCCTGAATAGCCAAAACAATCTTGAGAGAGAACAAAGCTGGAGGCATCACACTTCCTGATTTCAAACGGTATTACAAACCTATAGAAATCAAAACAGTATGGTACTGGTGTGAAAACAGACATGTAGACCAATGGAATAGAATAGAGAGGCCAGAAATAAACTGATGCATATACAGCCAACTAATATTTGACAAGGGAGCCAAGCTTCAATGGGACAAAACAGTCTTTTCAATAAACTGTGTTGGGAAAACTGCATATTCATAAGCCAAAAGAATGAAACTGGACTCCTATCTTACACCACCCACGAAAATTAACTCAAAACGAACTAAAGGACTTAAATGTAAGACCTAAAACCGTAAAACTTCCAGAAGAAAACAAGGGGGAGGAAGGTCCTTGACATTAGTCTTGGCAATGATTTTTTTGGATACAACACCAAAAGCAGAAGAAACAAAAGCAAAAATCAACATGTGGGACTACATCAAACTAAAAAGCTTCTGCAAGCAAAACCACCAACCAACAAAATGAAAAGGCACCCTACAGAATGGGAGAAAATATTTGCAAGCCATATACCTACTATGAGGTTAACATCCAAAATATATAAGGAACTCATGTAACTCCATAGCAAAAAAACCCCCCAAAAATCCAATTAAAAAATGGGCAGAAGACTTGAATAGACATTCTTTCAAAGAAGACATACAAACGGCCAACAAGTATGGGAAAGGTGTTCAACATCTCTACCCATCAGGGAAACACAAATGAAACCACAGTGAGATATCATCTCACATGTTAGAGTGGCTATCATCAAAAAGAGATAACAAATGCTGGTAAAGACGTGAAGAAAATGAAACCCTTGTACACTGCTGGTGGGAATATAAATCAGTATAGCCACTATGGAGAGCAGTATGGTTGCTCCTCAAAAAACTAAAAATAGAACTACAATATGATCCAGCAATCTCCCTTCTGGGTATAGGTCCAAAGATGAAATCACTGTCTCAAATAGATTTCTGCACTCCCACGTTTATTGCAGCACTACTGACAAAAGCCAAGACATGGAAACAACCTAAGTGTCCATCAACAGATGAATGCATAAGGAATATGTGACACACATACACACAATCGAATATTATTCAGTCATAAAAAAGAAGGAAATCCTCCCATTTTCGACAACATGGATGGACCCTGAGAGCATTACGCTAAGTGAAACAAGTCAGATGAAAACAAATACCATATAATTTCACTTATATGTGGAATCTAAAAACACTGAACTCATGCAAACGGAGAGCAGAATGGTGGATGGCAGGCACTGAGGGGTGGAGGAAACGCAGAGATGTTGGTTAAAGGGCACAAATTTTCAGTCAGAAGATAATTAAGTTCCAGGGATCTAATGCACAGCATGGTGACCACCGTTACTATCACTGGATTGCACGCTTGAAAGACGCTATGAGAGCAGAGCTCTACTGTTTTCATGACAATAACAGAACAGTAATTACGTGAGGTGAAGCACGTGTTAACCAACCTCACTGTGATAAATATTTCACAATACATGTGTGCATCAAATCATCACTTTGTACGTCTTAAACTTGCACAATGTTATATGTCAATTATATCTCAATAAAGCTGGGGAAAAAATATTTTTTCATGTATTCAAATTCCCAATGTGTTTAGCTATTTTCTTTTTCCAAAAGCACCAATTCCTAGAGAGCTCAAATGACTTAAGCAAAGATATTAGGATCTGGCCCATCATCCTAATGAGAAACAGCTGCCATCTCTGGAAGCCTGGTTTCGGCAGCCAGAGCTGTACAAAGAGAAGGTATCTGCTCTCAGAGAACAGGGTAGGCGACAGGACACGGAGAAGTAAACAGTTCTCATAACGCTGCTTTCTTTCGGCTTCTCTTATGCATCCAGGTGTCTCACCCTTTTTCCATGCTTTTTACATCATTACCTACCTTATCACAGAGACGAACAACTTATAAAAATGACCCCTGCAAATGTAAATTCACAAAGCCCACAAGCTCACCTTTAAGTAATTCATGACGCCAATATTTTTCATCCGGTCAGCAAAGGCATTGAACGCCTCCACGTTGCTTTTAGGGTGATAATACAGAATTTCACTCCCGAGCTTCCAAATAATCTGTCAAAACAGAGATGACTAACAAAAATGTAAAATCCTTGCCTTAACCAATCTCTGCCTCAGAAAGCTATTTTTTTCTGATTACATTAAAAAACAACCTATAATTCCTTTTCCTAGATACTACTGTCAACATTTTACTGTATTTCACCTAGTGAAACTAATATTACATCTTATGTGATAAAATCTTTTCCATCAATTAAATTAAAATACCAGATAACTATGACACAGTCAATTTTAAGTCAGCAGTCCAAAGAACGTAGGCAGTTAAGACACATATTGAAGATAAAAATTTTAATTAGTATGAGAGGAAGAATATTAAAGTCAGAAAACCTGAGTTCTAGCAACATTGACTTCTTCACTGCTCTCAGCCTCCTAATTATCCACAAAATGAGAGCAATGGACTAGACATTTCCTGAGCTCCCATCGAGCTCTACCACTCGATTTACAGAACTCCAATATAAGAATTTCATCAGCTACAGACAAATTTTTAATAAAAATATTTTCTCCCCAGAGCACCAAAGCTTTGCTGACAGAACTCGGAGCTCTTCTTTTTCCTGGGAACGAATCTCTATTTCTATTAGCCTAATTTAAGGGACTTCAATAAAACTGACCTTAAAGTAAATGGAAGTGAATTTTAAATCAATTCTTCCTGTAAACATATATATTGGTTGTTCAGCATAATAACGATACTCATCTTTCCAACTCAGAAAGAGAGATCGAGATTTCATTTGTAGAACACCAAATTGTAGTATTTTGGAGCTTAAAGGAAACTTGGGAATTATCTATCACAGTTATTCTTAAATCTAGTTGTATGTAAGAATTATCTGGAGCACTTGTTAAAAATAAATATTCCAGAGACTCAGACTCTGATTCAGCAGGAGGGGAGGGGAGACAGGAATCTATATTTTCAACAAACGCCCTAAGTAATTCATATAGAGCCAAACAAGTGTCCGGAAACCACTGATTCCATCCTTTATTTTACAAAACAAATTCTAGACAAAAAGGGCCTGTAACTTGCCCAATGTTTTATAGATGTACATAACTTTATTCCTTAAACTAAATTTTCGATCAATAAATTTTTTTTTCCAGATTTTTTTGGCTCCATTAGATATCAAACTGATGCAATGGTTACTGTATTAATAAAAGCTATCTGAGATAGTCATGTGAAGTTATTTGTGGATAAACCGTCTTTTACTGAACAAATGTAACAGAAGATGCCAAGCACTGATCTAGATCCCGGCCCTGGTGGAATTTACTTCTATCTTAGAGAGACAATAACCAAGAAACTTAGTAATTAAATTAGCAAGTATCCTGGGATGGAGCAGGATAAGGGGATCAGGAGTGCCAGCTGGAAAGTGGGGGGTGGCATGCAGCTGCAATGGTAAACAGCCATGGCAGGGCCTCTCAGAAATGTGACCTGCAGGAGGGTAGCCATAGTGAGACCTGAAGAAAGACCTTTCCAAGTAAAGGAAATCGCTAAGGCAAAGGCAATGAGGCAGGAGCATATCTGGCCTGTTCAAGTAACAGCAAGGAGGCAGTGAGTTTGGAGAAGAAAACACAAGAGGGAGAGCAGGTGAGGTCAGAGAGGTCGAAGAAGAAAAGGGAGTGAGCGGAGCACGCAGAACTCGCAGGCGATCAGAAGGACTTTGGCTTCTACTCCGAGTGAAACAGGAGGCTATCACAGTGTCCTCAGCAGAGGAGTGACACGATCTGACTCATGCTTTACAAGGATCATGCTGCGTCATTGGTCATTAAGGAAACGCAAATCAAAACCATGATGAGCTACCACTTCACAACCACCAGGACGGCTATAATGAAAAAGACAGACAGTAACACAGGTTTGCAAGGATGTGGAGAAGCTGGAATCCTCATATATTGCTGGTAGGAATATAAAATGGTGCAGCCGCTTTGGAAAACGGTCTATGAAGTTTAAGAATTACCATATGACCCAGCCATCCCTCTCCTAAGTATATACCTAAGAGAAATTACAACAAACATCCCTATAAAAACTTGTACATGAATGTTCACAGCAGCATTATTCACAATAACCAAAAAGTGGAAACAACCCAGATGTCTAACAACTAATGAACAGATACATATAATGTGATATATCCATACAATGGAATGCTATTTTGCAATATGAAGGAATAAAGTACTAATACACGCTGTAACATGGATAAACCTTGAAAACATTATGTTCAGTGAAAAACATCATTCACAAACGTCATATATTATACAACTCCACTTATACGAAATGTCCAGAATGGAAAGTAGATTAATGGATGCCAGGGGCTGGAGGTTATAGGGACGAACAGGGAGTGACTGCGAGTGAACAGGGTCTCCTTTTGAGGGGACGAAAATGTTCTAAATTTAGACTGTGGTAATGGTTGCACATCTCTGTGAATATACAAAAAAACACTGAATTATACAATTTAAATGGGTGAATTGTATGGTGCGTTAATGATATCTTAATAAAGGTAGGATCACTCTGGCTGCTATGCTGGAAACAGACTGGGGGTGGAGAAGGGCGAGCAGTCCTCAGGGAGGTGACAGTGGCTGGGATCAAGGGGCAGCAAGGGAGGTGGTGAGAAGTACTCAGACTGTAGGTATATTTTGAAACTAGAGTCAACAGGATTTTCTGATCGTTTGGATATGGTCATGAAAGAAAGATTAACTCCAGGGTTTGGCCCTAGCAATTAGATACATAAAGTAACCATCCTCTGAGATGAGGAAAATTAGGTTAGACAGGGAAGCTCAGAAAATCCCTTTTAGCTCTGTTGGTATGATATGACCATTAGATATCCAAGTGGTGATGTGGAGAAGATAGCTGGGTTAGGAATCTGGACGTGGAGATGTCAGGGCCATAGACAGACAACTGGGAATTGCCAGCATATAGACCAAATTTAAGGCTATGAAACTGACTGAGATCTTTAAGAGCGAGTTCAGACAATGAAGAGGACTAAGGACTGAGTTCTGGGGCCCAGGTCCAAAGGCCAGAAAGAGAAGCAGTCAGAAAAGGAGACTGAGGAATGTCCAGTGAGGCAGGAGAGAAAACTGACAGAGGGCGGTGTCTTGGAACCAGATGAAGAAAGGTTATCACACAGGAAGGAATGATCTCCTGTGTTAAATACTGCTGACAGACCAAGTTAGAGGAGCACTGAGAGTCCGCCACTGGATTTAGCAACATGGAAATCACTGTTGACCTCGACAAAGCAATTTGGGAGAATCAGTGATGCTGGCGGTGGGGGGAGCCTAACTGGAGAGGGCTGGCAGAGAAGAAGGATGCACTCTCTTTCCAGGAGCTCTGCTGAAAGGGAGAGTGGAAAAACGGGGCACGGCCTGCGGAGAAAATGGGGGTCAAGAGATGATTTTAAGATGGAAAAAATAGCATTTGTATGATGATAGGAAACATCCTATAGCGAAGGGACATTAATGACAGAGGGAAAGAAGAATTACTGGAATGAATGAAAATACTAAGGAATCTGAGAATTCAAACTATTTTCAGTCTCCTTTAAAATCATAGGAAGTAAAAAAAAGTACACACAAAAATGCCCCGATACAAACTCTCCACCCAAAACTACTTTCGGTAGCTTTTAGAAGAATCAACATGAGACGCTGCAGAAGCTATTCCGGTGGAGCTCAGGAGGCAGGAACTCACAGACCTCACAGTCTCTTGGAGCAGACGAGCACTCACCTCCGGGGCGGCCTGCCTCTTGCAGCTGTCCGAATCTTCCAAGACCTGCAAATAGCTGTGCATGTATTCCGCAGCCTGCTGCCACTGGTGCTTCAGCAGAGCTTCCTGGATAAAACTTAAACAAGCACTTGTCGTCTGCGCAAAATCCTTCTCCTTTTTCCCTCCAGTCGCTACAAAGATTAAAGAGACGAGTTTCACCACAGTGACCCCAATGCAACAACTCAAAAACCTTACTTCTATAAGCAGAAGTTTTAACAAGTAGAACAGAGGGTATTACTTAACCCAGGCCACCCCAATATCAAAGCTAGCTTCACTTGTTCTTGTTTTGTTTATCAAAAATTGTAGAAGGATCCGATGATTTTTTATAACAGATCACTATGTACTTTTTTCACAAATAATTCAAGAGTTCAAAGGCCAGATCCACTGCTATAACTAAAATCCATCCATTGCTATCTACTTACTTATGTGACTAACGTGTGTCAGAATTTTCATCATTTAAAACAAAATAGAATTGAAGCTCAATCTTTCCTTCTTCTAGAAATACATACTATTCATCCACAGATACATGAAGTAATTGGATAAAAATAACTATATTTGACTGAGATAAAAAGCAACCAAAACTTACTTTTAATACTTAAATTTTGATAAAACTTTTAATACTTAAGTTATTTTGATCAGCTGTGTACAACTATTAATTTAATGCTATCTCAATCCAGAAGAAATTTTAATACTTAAAACCTTGTAGGATATTAACAAAAATAATTAAAACTAGGTACATACTTTTACTGAAAGAATAAAAGTATAAAACAAAAAGGCACAACACAAAATTTCCATCTATTAAAAGCATTTCATAAATATTTTTAAATGGTTGATGAAAAGTATCACATCCCTAGGCTGTTTAGATTCCACCAGATAGGTAGCTTTATATATAGATATATATATTTTTGCTGAGGAAGATTGGCCGTGAGCTAACATCTGTGCCAATCTTCCTCTATTTTATATGTGGGACGCCGCCACAGCATGCCTTGATGAGTGGTGCATAGGTCCACACCTGGGATCCGAACTTGCAAAACCCAGGCCACCAAAGCGGAGCACGCAAACTTAACCACTATGCCACTGGGCCAGCCCCTCCACCAGATCTATTTTTTAAAGTAATATAATAATTTTATTTAAAGATACCAACATACACTGGAAATTATATCTTTTGCAACTTCAAGTGTAGGATACAATTTTTAGATGGCATTTTAGAACAGTACAAGGTAGTACCTAATTTTCCAAAAAAATAAAAGTAGAGGCCTACTGCTCTAGACTAGCGCTTCTCACACGTTTTCAGTGTGCAAACAAACCCCCTGGGGATCCTGATGCTTGCTACTCAGGGTGATCCTGAAACCAGCAGCTTAGGATCACAGGGAGCTCATGAAAAATAAGCTCTCTGAATCAGAAGCTGCATTTCACAAGATCTACACCCAAGCTCCCAGGATCAGCAGCAACACCACGCAAAATACCTCTTCCCTAAAACCTCATTTATTCCCCTAAAGGAAAATTAATCTCAGGCCAAACTCCCCTCCATCCCTCCAGTGTTCACACCCCAGACTGGAAATCGACTTTAGACACTATTCCTAAATCCTTGGAAAAGTCCCCTCCCGCCTTCCAACTCAGCCTCGTGACCTCAGGAATCTCTCTCACATCATCCTTTTGTGAGCAAAAGATAACAATTGTCAAGGAAAATGCATTTTGATGGAATGAGATACAATAAAGAACCAGCGTCATCAACCTAACTTCTAATGCCCTTGAAAGAATCTGGACACTTGTCATTCTGCCAACAAATACTTTTTGAGCACCACTATGCACCAAGAACTATTCTAGGTACTCAACACACAGCTCTATTCCAGATGGGCCCCTGCCTTTAAAGTTTTTATTCTAGGGGGCACATGCTTCCAAGTGCCAAAAGACATCAGAATAAAAAAAATAAATAATTGTTAGGAAACTGTGTTTTCCTACCATGAGCTAATTATCACTACAGTGTCAATATTACCTGCAACTTTTTTCTCCTTACAAAGTATTTTGGATTTAAGGGGCTGGCCCCGTGGCCAAGTGGTTAAGTTCACGTGCTCTGCTTCAGCGGCCTGGAGTTTTGCCAGTTCAGATCCTGGGTGCGGACATGGCACTGCTCATCCAGCCATGATGAGACGGCATCCCACATAGCACAACCAGAGGGACCTACAACTAGAATATACAACTATATATTGGGGGGCTTTGGGGAGAAGAGAAAAAAAAAAGGAAAAGATTGGCAACAGATGTTACCTCTGTAGATCAGGTACTAATCTTTAAAAAAAAACAAAAAAATTGGGAGAGGAAATGCACATCTATGTATTAAAATAAAAAAGTAGGGGCCAGCCCAGTGGCAGAGCGGTTAAGTTCACATGCTCCACTTTGGCAGCCCAGGATTTGCCAGTTCGGATCCTAGATGTGGACCTACGTGCCGCTTGTGAAGCCATGCTGTGGCAGGCATACCACATATAAAGTAGAGGAAGATGAGCACAGATGTTAGCTCTGGGCCAATCTTCCTCAGCAAAAAAACAAAAAAAGAAAGACAGAAAGAAAAGAAAAGAGAAGTATTTTGTATTTAACAAGCCATCCATAACCTATAAAACACTTCTAAGCATGTAAATTCTGGACTTAAACCTACTTGTTTCTGGACTGACTCAAGCTCTCTAGAGAACAGTGGGGGCAGAAACATGCCCAGGGAGGCCTTAACTAGCAGGAACTTTAGATGACTAGATCTCTGTAAGAACTGAAGTAGCACTCCTTCTGAAGTACCATCCATTCAAACCTGGTTTAAACCATGTGTCTTAATCCAGCAAAAATAAAAGGAGAGGAGAAGAAAGAAACTATTGATTTTTTTCAACACTCACTATGCACAAGGCTCTATGCTAGGCACTTTACATACATTATCCTATTTTTCATATCTCAGACACTAAAAGAATAGGCTTTGAGATCAGACAGGCCTACGTTTGACTCCTGGTACCAGCACTTAGAGGGTAAGTTCTTTGAGATTCAATTTCCTCATCTCTAAAATGGCTGAGCACATAGATTTACTGAGGATTACTTTGCTGAGATAATAAAATGAGATGATACTTGGAGTAACATAAAAAGAAATAGGAGCCAAATTCTAGAAGCCAAGAAATCTCAGGCAAGGGGAAAGAGGGCTAGACTAAGAAGATGTGTTTGGGTGGATCCAGAGGGTAAGGAGAAAAGTGCTGGTTCCAATGGATGCCCAGGAATACACCAGTCAACATGCAGGTAACTGCTTCTTTTATATATTCTGATAGGGGTTTATCTCATAGAAAAACTTCCTTCTATTTACATTAGAAGAAAATGGGGGAAAATATTCTTTATTTGAAACCTATTATAGATCAATTCTGTTAGGAATTATTTCACTGCAGTTCCATAGAAACTTCTTGAAAACACAGAGACCCTATCTTCTCCATCCATGTATCCCCAATATCTAGCCAATGCCAGAGATATAATAAACGCTCAGTATTGATAGGAAAAAAGTCTATCTACCATAATACAGACTATTGTTTATTAACTCAAAGGAAAATAACTATAAAAGAAAAAAGAATCTATTTTTATGACTTCTTTTTTGCTTACAGTCTAAAATAACCTCCATATATTCCTATCTTGAAAACCGAACCAGCTCGGTTATTCATTTTTGTATCCATACTGAATCTTATCACCTCCATGCATTAAAGTTAAAATGGTTCTATCTTATTTTACTTACCCACAGTTTCTATATGCTTTTGGAGCCAAGGAAAATGCATTCCTGTTCCAGAGAGCTCACACCTTTCCCCCTGGTCATCCTCTGTTGTGGACTTTATCAATTCTTCACTGAAATCACTCATACCTATCCCAAACTGAGAACATCAGTTACTTTCTGTACATCTTAATCCACAGGCTTCTGAGTTATACAGAAAAAAAACAGCCATCTTTTTATCTAATAAACATCATTTGATCACCAAAATTAATTGCACCTAATAGTTCCTTTGAAGAAAGAAATGAATTTAATTATGTCGGCAAATGGGCTAAATGAATGATCCATTCAAAAAAAAGGACAACTACTACTATATTCAAGAATATACAAAGATGGATACTAACGTTTTAATTTAAAAAAAGTCTAGAGAAGAAAAAGCAAAACGATGCATAATAAAACAATACGACAAGTACAATAATAGTAGGAATTAACATTTATTGGGCCCATTCTATACACCAGGGATATAAATTACCTAATTTAATCCTTAGAGAAATCCTAAGGAAAGTACTATTATTTTCTTCCATTTTCATGAAAAAACTGAGGGGCTTAGCGAAATTATGTAACCTGGCCCAACCCCACAAGAAAGGAGAGGACAATATTCTAGAAACTAGAACACCCAACTACCTAGGATGAACAGAGCTTGGGGTCTGTGTGGAGGAGGAGGCAGAAGACAGAACTGACGGCGGGAAAGAAATCTAGAAAGAGTCATTTTCCAAGCTGAGTCTGGACTTCATGCACAAGATGTTCAGAGCCCCATATCCAATCGATTATTAGGTCCTGCTGATACTTGCTGGTATTTCTCCAATCTTCCCTCTTCTCCGCAATCCTCTACTACTACCCTAGCTCAGGACGCCTTCAAACTCGGTCTAGATTACTGCTTTAGCTTCCTAACTAGTTTCCCTGCCTCGAATTCTGCTTCTCCACACTACAGCCACGTAAACCTTTTAAAATCTAATTCTAGGGTTAGGAGCATGGGTTCGAAATAACACCGGAGTCTGAACCCGACCCACATGTATTTTAAGGAGTCGTTCCAGAAGCAGCTCTCCCTTCCCAAATTCCCAAAGACTAAATTGGTGTCACGCGGTTGCCACGGTAACCAAAGCTTCTGCACCCCCTTCGGCCTCGTTCTCGGAACTGGAGGTTTCAGAGCATGCGGAGAAAATAACAAGAGAACACGAGTGAATCTAGCACGGCCCTCCCCGTTGCACTTTAAACGCACTCACCTGTCGAAAGCTGGAGCCCTTCTGCAACGCTAAACTCAAGCTCCGGACTCCCGAGCAAGCTGAGCACCCCTTCACCGGAAGCGGAGTTAGAGAGCGCTTTGAGTGAGCATGCGCAAAATCTGCCTGGGGGCGTTCCGGCGGCGCGCAGAGGCAGCCCCGCCCCTAGCTCCTCCCTCGGCGGTGGAGGCTTCGCTGTCCTCGCCACGACCCCAGACGTGACCCGGAAGTGACCGGGTACTGCCGCCCTTCCGTTGGCATGGCTCCAAATTTGTCACTTAGTCCGTTGGAGCCGTTAAATGGCAGACTTTAATTGCAAATGAACATTAGAGTGAGGGCGCCTAGATGAGAGGAGCAGTCAAAAAGCAGGGTGTCACCCGAGTAATTCACTGTACGATGACCTTTCGGTTTCTGCTTGGCTGGCGCACTGCGCTGGTCACGCAGGTGTGGCTGGTGGCCCAGACCGGATAAATTTTTACATAGCCTTTTAATTGCTTCCTTGAAATCTTTTTTCTCTTTTATTAAAGTTTTAGCTTTGAATTTAAGTGACTCTGACTGCATCCCCAAAATTGGCCAAGGATATCTTTTTCCTTCTCAGCAGGGAAGTTCTGTGGACCTGTCTGGGGTCACTTTTCATGAGGAACGTTGACAAACTTACATGAAATAGGGGTCGAAAGTAAGATGGTTAAATGTGAAAAGAGGGCAAGTTGAGGAGCTCTGGGGAAGATGGTCCTGGAAAAGCAGAGACCCATGGGAACAATATATATCTCCAAAATTTGGAGAGTCGATCTGAGGAAGAAGGGTCATAGCATCAGAAAACAGAACTAGGACTAACTAGTGAAAGTTAAGGGAGGGAGCTTAAAGTCCTTACAGGAATTTTGTTCATAAATAAGGCTGCACAAATAATGGCATAGGCTCCCACAGGAAGCTTTGAGTTCTCCGTACCCTAAAAGTGAACCATTTGAGCAGAATCAGAGTATCATAGAGGAGATTAAAGGGTCAAATAAGAGTTTGTACAGTGATTCCTTAAAATGCTGAAAATACTTGTCTTCATGAACACTATGCGTTAGGTATGGGCTTGCAAGAAAAATTGCTTCTGCCACAACTAGGACCCACAACTAAAAATATACAACTATGTACTGGGGGACTTTGGGAGACAAAGGAAAAATTTGAAAAAAAAAGAAAAATTCCTTCTGCTACTCCTTGTGTCATAGGTTCTTGGCTTCACTCAAGCCTGTACTCTAATTCCACAGGCAAGGCTGAGCTAAATGATAATGTCCAGGAGGACACACACATGAAATAACATAGCTGTAAGCATCTAGTCTAGAGGTTTGATCTGGCGACATTTCTTCCCTTGCTGTGGGAAGGTATGAGGTATAATTTCACCAAAACCAACCCAGAGCTGATTTTATATGGCTAGAAATTCGTGGTCTCTCAAAAATAGGGAAAAAAATTCTGATTTAATTTAATGTTCTCAGACAACTCTAGGCAACAGTAGATAAATGAGAAAAAGTCAAGAACTAGTATCTTTATATGCTCTACCCACTCTTCCCTTTTCCATGGTACAATTCTGGTAGAAAATGTGTTAGGGAGAAGAAAGTAAGAAGAAAATGACTATACTATACCACACCCAATAGCATAAATAAGATTTAAAAAATAGGATTTAAAAAAGGAAATGGTCTGACAAAAATGCAAACATAAAACAAAGCATGCAGAAGACTTTCTAGACTCTAATCTAGAAGAAAACGTATCCTAAGCAACAGACAGATGTTCGTGCTAAAAAAGCAACTTAATATGATGATGAATTACACTTTTAAAAAAACTATTAACTGTTATTTAGAGAATATTATCACCATGAGCCCTTCAATTATTCCCATAAACCCTTTATTAGACTCCCTGCAAATTAATAAAGAACAAGCTTCAGAAAACCAAACAGTTGGAAAGACATCATCATAAATAAACGATATCACAGTTAATAATACAAACAAGATGAAAAAGGAATGTGGCAAAAATGAAAGCATAAGAACAAAACAGCTCACATAATAATATAGAGAAAAATATTATCCAACTGTGAACTCCCTAAAACACACGGGCTACGATCTCACCCCTGACTTAAGGAAAATCTATATCCTCAAAGGCTCAGCTTCATTTTTTTTGCCCATTTGGTGCCCTGAGCCACTCTATAAAGAAGTCTGGCTATCCTACTGGGGAGAGAGAGGGCACAAGACAACAGAGTCCCTGGAGAATGAAACACCACACAGAGAGAGGCCACATGGAGCCAACAGTCAGCATCGTAATTCCATATGCATGAGGAAGGCCTTCCCAGACCTTGCGGCCCAAATCGGTCACTTGCTCATTTCAACCAGACAGTTGAGTCCAGTCGATAACACATGGAGCAGAGGTGAGCTATTCTCGAGAAGCCCTGTGCAAATTCCTGACTCACAAAATTGTGAGCAGCAAAATGGTGGTGGTTTTAAGCATCTGAACTTATTGATCATTAGCATCTTCCAACTTTTTTCTTCGTCAGTCAGTGTTGTTAGAGATTACCAGTTTATTTATGCTGTGGTCAGAAAACAAACTCTGTGAGATGTCAATATTTTAAAATTTTTAGACATTTATTTTGTTGCCAAAAATATGGACTGTCTTGGTCAATGTTCCATGGACACTAGAAAAGAATGTGTGTTCTACAGTTGTTGAGTGTTGTATATTATCAATGTCGATGAGGTTAAGGTAGTTGATAGTTTTGTTCAGATCTATATTGTAACTGATTTTTCATATCACTATATGAACACTTACTATTAATTACTGAGATCGGCATGTTAAAATGGCAAACCATGTTTGTAGATTTGTCTCTTTTTTCTTTAGTTTTGTCAGCTTTCCTTCACATATTTTGAAGGTTTGTTATTGAACACATAAATGTTTGTGGTTCTTATATCTTCCTGATTAAATAACCATTTTATCATTCTAAAATATACTTTTTATCTCTGATAAAACTCCTTATCTTGAACGAGTTTGTCTGATATTAACATAGTCACGGCAACATTCTCAGCTTACTGTTTGAGTGGCATATCTTTTCCCATCTTTCTACTTTCAACCTACCTGAGTTTTTTATTCAGTGTTACTTCCCTTGTAGACAATAATTAGTTGGATCTTCACATTTTTAATCCAATCTGATAATCACTATCTTTTAATTGGTGTGTTTTATTCATTTATATTAATTGTAATAATTGATGTCGTTGAATTTAAGTCTATCATTTTTCTGTTTCCAGTTTGTCCCCTTAGTTTTTTGTTGCCCTGTTCTCCACTTCCTGCCATTTTTTGGATTAATCAAAGTTTCAGTATTCCATTTTAATTTCTCTGTTGGCTTTTAGCTATATCTCTTTGCATTATTGTTTTAGCAGTATTTCTAGGATTTATCATCTGCTTTCCTAAATTATCACAGTCTACTTAGAATTAAAATTGTGATGCTTCACATAAAATAAAGGAGCCTTGCCACAGTGTAGTTCCATTTACCATCACCCCCAAGTCCTTTGTGGTTTATTGTCTTATATATTCTATCTACAGACATTGTTATTTTTGCTTTAAACAGTTATATGTATTTTAAAGAAATTAAGAGAAGAAATATATATATTGCCTTTCAAATTTACCCATATTTTACCATTTCCAGTACCTTTCATTCCTTCCAGTAAATTATCTTCAAAAGTAGTTGCCAGAGGGACCAGCCCAGTGGCACAGCAGTTAATTTCACACATTCCACTTTGGCGGCCTGGCGTTCACCAGTTCAGATCCTGGGTGCGGACCTACGCATCGGCTATCAAGCCAAGCTCTGGCAGATGTCTCACACATAAAATAGAGGAAGATGGGCACAGATGTTAGCTCAGGGCCAATCTTCCTCAGCAAAAAGAGGAGGATTGGCTGCAGATGTTAGCTCAGGGCTAATCTTCCTCAAAAAAAAAAAAATAGTTGCCAGAAATTCTTCCCATTCCTGTACAATCATGTTGCTTCTTCCATTAAGAAGTAGAGTCTATTGCTCCACCCCTCGAATCTGGGCTGGTCTTTTGATTTGCTTTGCTGAACAAAATATGGGAAAAGTGATGCCAAGCCAGTTCTAGGACTAGGACTTAAGAAGCCTTGCACTTTCCATTTTTATCCTCTAGGAATCCAGCCAACAAGTAAATAAGTTTAGGCTAGATTACTGAATACAGGCCTACCTCTTTTATTGCACTGTGCTTTATTGTGCTTCGCAGATACTGTGTTTTTTACAAGATTTTGAGCACCAGCACAAAGGCTCACTGAAGGCTCAGATGATGGTTAGCAATTTTAGCAATAAAGTACTTTTTAATTAAGATAGACCCATTGGGTTTTTTTGGTGCTATTTCACACTTTTGTGTGCACTGAGAAACAAAAAATTCATGTGACTCACTTTATTGTGATATTCACTTTACTGTGGTGGTCTGGAACCGAGCCCACAATATCTCTGAGGTATGCCTGTAACAAAAACCATTTGGATAGAGGGGGACCCATCCTAGCCATTTCAGTCACCACACCTGAGCCAGCAGACATGTTGAGTGAAGCTATTTTGGAAGTTTCAGCCCTGGCCAAGCTCCCAGCTGAATGCGGCCACATGAGTGACCAGCAACACCCAGAAATGAAGAACCACCCAATTAAGTCCAGCCAAGGCACAGTATCAGGAGAAAGAACAAATTATTATCATTTTAAACTACTAACTTTACATAGTAAAGGATAACTAAAACATTCCATTTCTATTGAATGTGCCATCATCTCCTTTCATCTTAAAGAATTTCTTTTAGCATTGCTTTTAGTACAGGTCTGTTGGTGATGAATTTTCTCAGTCTTTATTTATCTGAAAATGTCTATTTTGCCTTCAGATTGAAGGATATTTTTTCTGGATATAAAATTCTGGATCGACAGTTTTTGTCTTCTGGCACTTTAAGCCCTTCCATTGGCTATTCTTTTTTAACATGACCAACTTGTGTTGGGTTTGGCTTTTTTTAAGGTATGCTTTATTTGGTGAGGAAGATTGGCCCTGAGCTAACATCTGTTGCCAATCTTCCTCTTTTTTTTTCTATTCCTCTTTTCTCCCCAAGGCCCCAGTACTAGTTGTATATCCTAATTGT